TGAGCGCGAATAATGCGGCGAGAGGGATGTACGCACAGGCGTGGCACATGACGGCTAGTGCTGTTGCAATGATTGTGGGTGAGTTGGATTCGGTATCTGCGTCTCTTCTCGATTGTTCCGTTCGCTGATCTCTTTCTTTGTTGGTAGATTTGGGAATCCATCACGACAAAGAATTTTGGAGGGACAAGAACAGGGAACCGAAGGATACTCCCAGTCCTGAGAGTTCGAGCTCGAGTGGGAGGCGGAAGGAGAAGGAGAAGGAGAGAGAGAGGGAGAGAGATAGGGGAGATGGTGGAAGAGATAGGGAAAGGGGGGCGAAAGGATACGTTGCACGGCAGATGCGACTTAGGGTATTCTGGGGAGCCTTTATCTGGGATAAGTGAGTTTCCGTCTTTGCTTTGCCGTCACTCTTCCCTCCTCCCCTTGCGGTTCTCACCTGGTTTGACACATTTCAACTCGACGCTGATATTTTGAACCTGCAGGTTACTCTCCCTAGCGCTCAACCGAACGCCTTTACTTTCGCTGGAGCTGCATAGGCCGCCGCTACCTGATCCGGTCCCTAGCACGAAGTTGTGGGCGCCGTACATTCCTCCTTACATTCCGGTAACATCGAGGTCCGTGCCTGAAGAACACCAGCCTAGACAAGACGAAACACCATCGAAAGATGTACCTCCACTGCTTCATAGCTACACACCCCAACTAGGCCACGAGGAGAAATGTTTCTACGAGTAAGTCGTGTTGTTGATTTACTTCTTCGTTGACTTCATGCTTGTCTCTTTTTCCCCCAGGAGTTGTCGAGCGAACATATTCCTCGATGAAGTCCATCGGTTCTTGTATAGGAAGCCTTGGAGACGGCTGCCACCGTGGCATGTCAGGGATTCCGTTATGGGAATGAGAGAACGGATGCTGGGATGGTTGAAAATCGCAGATCAGGATGTCGTTTTCAGTGACCTTTCAGGGTTGAATGGGGCTGGCGGACAGGGTGACCCGCCGCCTCCGCACATCTTACAGCTCAAGTGCGTCCGAGTTTTCTCTTCTCGTTTCGCGGTCTGATACTGACTCGGGCTGTCGTGTAGTATCCTGATCCGCGTTATATGGATTTTGCTCTACCGACCTTTTTACTACAATAAAGCGAGTGCCTCTGGTGCGGGCGATGCCAATACTATATCCACACCGGGATCTTCAACGTCACATCACGGGCACGGCACCTCCACCTCCGCATCGACTTCAACTTCGACACCAACTTCAACATCGTCGTCCTCCTCTTCGTCCTATGCCATAACCCACGCCGTCACGACCTGCGAACAAGCATCTGTCGAGATAAATCTCCTCTTCAAATCATACGCTTCAGCATTTCCAATAGCCAAAGCCAGTTATACCATCGTATTCGCGGCATTTCTGGCTGCCACGATCGACCTGGTTGTCATTGAGAAACGATTTCAGGGTTCCGAAAAGTGGAAGGAGAGAGATGAAGTGCTGGAACGGTTGAGGCTTAGTCAGGTTGTCCTCAAGGGTGGGAGAGGAAGTATACCTGGTATGCAAGAGTCCATGGAGCAACTAGAAAAACGCCTGGAGAGGGTTATGAGGGCCGAGGAAGAGATTCGGGTGACGATGAACGCGAGCGGGAATGGTCATGAGACTGGTGATGCGAGCATGAACGTGGATAAGTCTGAGGATGGTAGAGCCTCTGTTGGGATCGGATATACGACGATGGGGACTGGCCAAATCCCGGAGGATCAGATGCAGTTGTCTTACAGCTCAGAACGGCAACAGGAACAGATCAATACTTTACCTTCCTCGCAACGTTCGCAGCGCATGCACGGGACCAGTAACACTCATCATTCGGTACCCATGGCGATGCCTCCTCAACATCGACTCACAGAGAGGAAATCCCTACCGACGATGTCGTTGGCAATACCCGACTCACAGGCGTACGGCTCGCTCCCGAGTGCGAACGCCGCTCTGGCACAGTCTCCCTTACCTGCATCAGCAACGATGTCGTCACCGGTATGGCAGTACCCCGCTGCAAGTCAACATTACAGTCAGCCTCCGTCGGCGGCAGCGACTTCACCACAGCAACAACACCAACATCAGCATCAACATCCCCAGCAGCCGTATCCTCAGACGCATTCGCAGTCTTACGGTCAAATGCACGATCCAAATTATGCGCAGAGCTTTGGGTCGCCTTCGAGTTCGTCGTTCTCGGGTTATGGCCATAATTTCAATTATACGAGTTCAAGTTTTGCTGGGATTGGTGGTGTAAGCATGCCTGAAGAAGGGTGGAATGCGTGGTTTTGGCCCGGAGATGGTACTACTGGCTCCTATGGAAGTAGCTCCCTCGGCGGAGCGTTGGGCCACGAATCTCAGGCTCACAGTCAGGTTCAGGGTCAAAGTCAAGGGGGTGGCAGTGAGTCTGTTGGATACTCAGGCGGGGGCGGGGGTGCAACTGTAGGCGCCGGGGGATGGATGATGTAGTAGTGCACAGTGGTCGATCCGTTTACCGAGATGTCGGCGATCTTTTTCTTCTTGCTTTGCTCTCTTTCTCGTTTCCGGGGTTAATGACCTCTTCTTGGGTTCTCGGCTTGTTTGAATAGACTGCGAACTTCTACCCGTCTTCTGCTTGTGGCTTCTTTCTTTCTCCCTGTTCCTGTGTGTGTACTTACCTATCCGGTCTTCTGGCATAGCCATCTCGTATTCTGCACTCTGTAGCACCAAATGTTCTTTCCTGTACCTGATTCACATAGGTAATTTATGTTGTAATCCTACGCGATACTAATGCACTTTTCACCTGAGCGACAGAAAGCCAACGAAGTGGGACGCAGGTGTCAAGTATTGAAAAGCTGGCTATTTCCCAGGCGTGAACATGATGCGTGCGAGCCCGCAGGATGTGCCCAAGGCCTATTGTACACCGGAAGTTAGCCGTGCCTCTGTGGCATGGGTAAGTCGAACAATGACTATTCGTTATGACTCTCAGGTCATGATCAGACTTCCGACTCGGACACCGAACAGGATCCGTGAATGATGCACGCGGTTGTCCGATCAATTGTATTTCTCAGCCTCCCACTGCCGTTCCCCGACCCTCTTAGAGAATTGATAGAAAATCTGCCAAGAGTACTGCGACGGGACCTCTTTGTCACAAATGACCTATGCCTCATTCCCTCAACTAATTTCGAACAATGAATTGATTTCTTGATCATTGACTAGCTCAACAACCTCAAGACACGATATAAATTCGCCCATGTTCAGCCATTCTTTCCTTAGCGTAGCTCCACCAGACGTCATCCATCTCTACAGCCAATTCAACATGATTATAGTCTCCGCCGGGCCCAGTGAGAGTATGGCTTGCACGCTGTCGAGCCGTGGGCTCGTATCAAGGTATTTAAGCCAGCCATCCATTCCCTCGTGAGGTTCTTCATAGTTAGAGATGTTCGCTCTACTAACCATATCTCTCCTAATCTTGTCGCTTTTCAACTCTTACTCCGCGCAATCAATCTCCCCTCCCTCATCCGTACGATTGGTCCTCCCCGACTTGAACCGTAATATAGGCCTAGATACACTCCTTCCCATAGGCTTTGCAGAGTCCGATCAAGATAACAACACCTACTGGGGCCTTCGTCGCTTCGTTAATGTCAGCGTCACGTACCCCAATGGGACGTACAGAACCCTTCTCGGAATAGGAAGTTCAGATTTTGAAAAGGCACAGTGTCGAATCTTCCCTTCTGGTTGGGCTGCTGGTCATGCAAGAGCTGTGAATGGAAGGTAAGTCGAGGTCTCGATGTTAAAAAGGGGCGACCTCAACGACTGACGACTCTTTTCCTCTGTTCGTCCTGTTCACCTTCGTTCAGTTTCACGGCACAGTGGAACATAACCTATGCGATGAGTGCAGACACTTCCCAGGTCGTCGTAGACGAATCGTGTGGTTCAGGACCACTCTCGTTCCAAAATTACACCCTGGAGCACACCTTTGACGTTGTCATCGACAGGCCGGAGCAGGCGGCGCCGGCATCTGTATCAAAGACATTCCTCAGGACAGAGTTGGGCACGCAGCCTACGGGAACTGTGTTGGCGAACCCTTCTCCTCCTTCGACTACTACTCCTTCCCCTCCAAGTAGTACTACCACGGACTCGGGAGGATCAGGGAGCGGATCGGAGAATCGTGCATTGGGAACGAGGATACATGGCGGGTATACAATCATGACTTTGATAACGATCGTGTTGAGTATCCTTGGAGGGATCTTTATTGTAGCTTGAAGACAATACGGAGGAGGCTGCATTGGACTGGCGGTGAACTTGTCCGATAAGTCGAAGGTGACGACTGCGCCGTCCAGAATGGCGGCATTTTGAGCCCAGACTCATGAGAGCTACATGACATTCGGTAAGCTGCTGGAACCTAATGGCGGCGCTGAAGAAGGGGAGAGTAGGCATGGAGAAGGAAGTCCCGCTGAATAGGATGATGACGATGTCGTTCGAGGTACTCTTGGTAAAACGCTAATGGTGGAGAGAACCAAGGTACGACGAAGAAGCAAATCGCTGTGTGGATCGTTACCCTCTCGGATATGAGAAGTATAGACCCACCAGTAAGCGTGGATTTATCCAGTCGCGCCAGTAGCCACCCTGGCAAGACCACAAATTCCAAGATCGTCTGGCTAGCTTCCTAGTTGTGGCAACCGGTCTAGAACCATGGCGTAAGAGCAGTCCCAGGGAGATTCTGTGATGTTCGCGATGACTCGTTCGAAGAGGGCGGCTTCAAGTGATGCTGCAAGCTGGACATTCTCAATGTCATACGCGATAGAGTGGGAGTCCAAATCAAGTACAAGTTGAGTAAAAAAAGAAAAACGCCCGGCCGGGACCGGAGGTTTCCCCTCATGATCCTTCGCGTTCAATGCCATTGCCGGGACACGAGTATCCTATGCTCCGGTAGTCGTGTAACTGTATCAGACGCATATACTTACCACCCTCTAAAGGTGAAACTGTACGACACAAAAAAGTAAATCACCGTAGGGCCTGACCGGGAATTGAACCCGGGACCTCCTCGAAATAGCTTCAGTCGAAACCCTAACAAGGAATCATACTACTAGACCATCAGGCCGATTCTTACGGGTATAAAAGCGTTCTCAACAATGGCTTATCAACCGACAGCTCATCCGACAACGCAGTCCAGAGTTCACCACGAACGAGACTCACAAATCCAAAGATGCACTGGCCCCACTCAGACTCCAGATCTGCATGATCCTTAGATAGGTAAGCGGAAGATGTTCCCAGTGCTACAGGTTCGAGGGAGTATAAGTTCCCAGAGGATACCCGCCTGCCGCTGAAGGATTCTATATGTGACGAGCGAGGGGCAAAGTCAAAACTCAAATCACTGAGACCGTAAGATTATGGGACATCGACGCAGCAGCAGTGTTGCGGAATCGAGCGGTGATAGAGAAAGAACTTGAGGAGGTATAAAACTGAGCCTAAAAAATCCCAACATTCAAGCTAGTCCCTCGGGAGACTCAGCACTCAAGTTCTCACTCCCCGTGCATTCCCCAGCCCAATCATGAGCGCAAACTCAATATTCGGCTCGATCTTGCAATTGCTTCCCAGGGTCTTCACAACGACAAGCCCTATTTCCAAGATTTCGGATGGTCACGAACCACAAGCGGCGGTCGCGGCGTCCTCTGCGCCACAAGTCCCTTCGTCTAGAGTTTCAGTTAAGGAGCCGGATCTAAGCGGCCTGATCTATTGAGGAATTATCTGTCCTCGCGAAGCATAACAGGTGAATGTTTAGCATACCCTCAGAAATGACTCTCCTAACAAGCTTTGGACTGGTAATCAGCTGACGATCGCAGTGCACATGGGAGCGTAGCGAGGTTTATAGAGGCCTATACCTTCGTAGAGATAGAATGAAGATGGACTTCCGACCCCAAATCTAGAAGCATTCAGATTCACATGGCAAAACTCCGTCATATGTAGACCGCATGAGCTCGGCCGACGCTTTCCCCCCTAGACACTCGCCCGTATGTCCATTGAGCCGCTTGAACTTCTCGAACCTCGCCTTCAGACGAGTAGATCAGGAACATCCTAGCTTTATTAGGCCACAGTAGGCCACAGTCTTTGCTTCTTTGTATTTTTAACCGAGACTTCAAGGGAACTCTGCGTGATTACATCCGAGGTCTCGAGCGTCGGCTTTGTTGGGTCTTGATCGTCTTCCAATTCGCTACTGGGACATTGAGCTCATTTACTTGCCGACAAGCCCGTGAGATACGCTCGCATATCGGAAGCTGAACGATGAACCTAGAGCCTTGTAGGGAGAACGAAGCGACGGCGGTGGAAGGAAGACAAAAATATCGGGCGCAAGAGGTTCAAGCTACTAAGCACCTTCCCACGATGCGGACCGTCGGACCATCCGTCAGATCTCCTCCTCTGGCCCCCGGTTGACTCGCAAGGGACGTCCCATGTTCAGTGCACACTGGCCCCCGAAGACCATCCACGCTTTTTGCTTCTGCAGACTCATCGAGATTACCTCTCTTGGAGCTCGGAATTCCAAGAACTCTAGGCGCCGTAAACTTCAATTTGCTGATACGTGCGAAATGGCCCGAAAAATCAAGGTCGCCTTGTTCGCACTCCCAGGCCCTTTCAGCAGGTATCATTACATCCGTTCCAATCGAAGTCGAGAGCTCAGTTTGATCTTAGACTTGCACAGCAAGGCCGCGAGCACTCCAGAAATTCTCAAAGCGACGTCTCGCTATTCTGTTGTGGAGACGTATCCATTTCATTCTAGCCCTTGTCATTTTGTCGCAGGATTTTGTTCTCGCGAGGAAGGTCGAAACCAACTAATTCAATCTATTTCACATTTCATAGGTAATCTCAAGCTACACTGAGGCCACGAGGCTGCGAATCTTACGAGGCTTAGCGATGCAGTCCTACAAACAAACAATTCCCAGGAGTGAGTTCTCTCGTAAAATCTGTCCATTGCTGTGGTTCCCTGCTCAGCCAGAGGCTCAGTTCCGGTTTCTATATCATCGTCTACATATATTGAGAAGGCCAAGCGACAGCCTTGACGCCGATCTTTTCTCCCTCGACTATAAATCCCACGATCAGATACGGCCCGACTTTGCTCTAAAACAGATCGAACCTTCAGGTACATCCATCTTCTCATCCGTCTGATATCATCCCTTGATTGGTTTTGAAACGATGGTTCGGACCTCTGCGGCCCTTCGAAGGTTGTCTCTCATGAACTCTACTAGACGGCACGCACATTGGGCTCCTGCGCTATAGCTCCTAAACCATTTCCGAAATACATGATTGGGCCCCCAGTTTTATTCTACCGTTGCGTGAATGGGGCGGTCGAACCATTCAACCCATGCCATCTTGCCGGAGATCCCCCAGAGCTAACTGGAGATTTCCAACTACTTACTGGAAACCATCAGTTCGTAGCAGAGGGCAATTAAAGTGGTTACTTAGGGATTCTGCTCAATGGAGAGACGGTAGACCGGTCGACGTTGTCTAGTCCAATTCAGGGACATTTCAGGGAGTTAGTATGTATGATTATCAGCATCCCAGAAGCTAGTCCTATCGGGACTAGAGTATGTAACTTGTCCCTCTAGCTCCGCGTCTGATATTTGATCCCTCGTAGTACAGCATCCTCGGATATGGCGCTCGCTCAGCTGTGGATGGGTATAATCTATCTATGGCTTGGTGTTGGATCGCTCAGAAGTACATATGTACACCACTGTCGATGGTAATCTTCTTTGCAAGGTTCTCGACATAGCCTGTCAGGTCGTGTGATATTCATGCGCGCAGCATGCTTGTCCTTGAGCTCCGATAGACACACGGACCCTGTCAATCCGGGCTCTCAGGTGTCTCCTGTCGGGGACCTTTCAACAGTCTCAGCGTAATAAAGATTGGAGAGGATGAAACTTACTGAACGGACTCGGCAAATCGTTCTAGTCTTTTGACTCGGCGATACCCCGGAGGTTCCTTTACTACCACGATCTCAAATAGTGATGGATAAAGTCGGTACAGATTGGTAGATTCACTCTGAGATTCCGTGGTCCTCTCAGCTTCACCATTGGGACGCGGAGCTGAGTGTACACTCTCCAGCGCTTCAAGGCAGTTATGAAAGATGTGGAGCCTTCGTTCCTATCACAACTTACGATGGCAAATGCCGGGACGACTCACAATAACAGAATCAACAGTCTGTCGGGAGTTCGTACCGGGTCCGCCGCAATTGACCAATAGCAAGCTGGCCGTGGCCCGTGGGGTCTGGCCATCAGGAAATCGGGGACCTTCTATTTGACAGTATTACTGCAAAAAGATGTCAGAGTGTTAAGATACCGGGTTCTTTTCCCCTCCCCTAAGTATATTTTCCGTGACGTTTCCTCCCTCTTCTCTTTGACACCCACCACCATGGCACAGACATACTCTTCACGAACGCTCCCACCCCTCCAACCTCCAAGGGTCAAATTTGCTGATGCATTGGGCTACCTTGACGAGATCAAAGCCACCTACGCGGACGAGCCTCAGACATATCACCAGTTCTTGGCAGCGATGCAAGACTTTAAATCTGGCAGGTACGCCATCTATGCCTCATTCGCACACACTGCTCTACCAGTTCATGCGATCGCTATTCCTATGGTCTGACTCTTTTCTCCAAGGTTGAACGCCACGGAGACCATCCACCGAGTTGCAGTCCTGTTCCGCCACCACGGCCAACTTTACGAAGGCTTCAATACATTTTTGCCGCCTGGATATGGAATCGTCCAGAGGGATGCTCAGGAGGTCATTATAACCACGCCGGATGGTGTAGAGAGAAGGATTTTTCGTTAGATCCATATTATTATTCGCGGTGAGTCCCCCGAGTCTCGTCTCAGGGCGTAATCAATGACATTTCACTGGGTGCCATTAGGTGACCAAGAACAATTCGATTCTCTCTTGGAGTAACAGGTGTTACCCGGGGAGCCACAAGACTCGTAGGTGCTTTGAGATGGAAGGCAGAGGGAATCAATCGAATTGTTGTATTTCGGGATGAGGGTTGGAATCCGGTCGGGATAAACTCTTTGGATAGTTTTCAGTCTTGAGAGGCGATGCACCATCGGAGTCTTTGTCATTCCACAGCACAGTACTTCGTTACAACTATCTCGATAATATCTATTCGAACTCGTGTATGTATCAACAATCGCGCCCGTGCTGGTCGAGCCGCATTTTCCGAGTATTTAATCGAATGAATACTGGCCCGTACCGCGTCGGGTTTCTACAGGTACAAGAAACAGCTTCTAATACCCTTGACGGCATGCGAGTAAAGATAAAGGGTAGTTTAGATGCATACTTACGCAGGCACCGAAGGTGCGGGGATGTGTGAGCCTCGGAGAATAGCTGTACATGTCCGATTCGGGCAAACACCCAAACCCAACACGAAGCCTAAGTAGTAAGCAATATGGGATGATCTAGTTTATGTGTCATTTCTGTGGTCAGGGAAAGCTTGATAGATATCATATCCTTACCCCATGTCTACCGAAGACTCTGGTCGTGTAGTTGAGTTGAGTCCATCTGTCTATATATTCTATTATTCGGCAGCTTCTCCGCCTTTCCCTGCCATCTTGTTTGCGCGCGTCAGAGCATTGAAAATAGCTATCAGAAAACAGCACTGATGCGAGGGTCACAATTATGGGATAGATGGATGAAGAGTAGAGCAGGTCACTGGACTGGTAGTTTTCCAGAAGATATTTGCGAGTAGTGGGGGATGAGCGCAGACTCGAGTCACCGGGCGTACTTCACTTCACGGGTATACCAAACATCACCTCCAATTGTCCGACAAGTCTTCTAATGTAGACACGTTTTACGTGTGTTGATTGACTCTCGGCGGCGAGTGCTTGGTACGCCGCTGGGCAGGAGCATCGTCTAGTACCCTGGAATCCCGTTCTCTTCCATTTGACACGTTGTGGTAGCGTACACAGACGCGGTAAACCAGGGCCGAGGTCCTCCACATCGTATGCCGCCGCAATTACGCAATTGCAGGTGTTCTTGACAGAGCAAACGAGGCTTGCAAGCACGATGTACATTACTATTGAAAAGCCCGATCCTCGACGTGAATGTTCAATAGAATCG